TGCTCATTTTACAGAAGCCCTAGAGGAATTTTTGTATTTTCTTCAAGAAGCAGTTGTGTGGTGGGGTTTTTTTTTGTTTGTTTTGTTTTTTTTCCTGTTAAGGTATAGGAAAATAAGTCCTATAAGGCCTCTTCCTCTGTAACAAAAATCATACCTTAAAGGTATATTGTTCTTTAACCTTTTAATAAAATGTTTGGAAGTCAGCTTTTATCAAACACTTTCTTACTGGTATTCATTTGTATTAACAACCAGAAATCTTATTTTGAAGAACATAGGATGCATCTAATTTGACTTGCATAGTAGACCTTACGTGTGCTTGCTGTATGTATACATGCTTCAGTAAGCATATCTATCTGTCCCAGAAACTGTGTGGACATTACTGGAAAATAACCAACCTCCTTCAACTCTCCTTGTTCCCCCACAATGACAGTTTTTAAAAGGGATGCTATGGCACAAGGAAGGTGGGGGAGATTTCACCTGCGGGGCCTTGGTCCTTCTCCAAGAACAGAGCAGAAGTCCCAGCAGGGGGGCTGATCCACTGCTGTGTTCCATATGAATAGCATCTCTCTTCCACACTCTCCTCCCTTTGATGTGAGAACATGCTGCTTGTTATCCTGTTACATTCATCCTCTCGATACGAGAGTCCTTAGGGAACAGCTGCTACTTTTCCTGGCATGAATTACCTTGTGGGCGAGGATATGCATTTATCAGTAATATTGCATGCTATCTTTTCATTCATTATATACATAAAAGTCAGGTATACGTTTCCCAAAATGCAAACTTGTTTTATGTTGCTAAAAAAAATTATCATTCTTACAGTAGTTTTGATTTTCTTTTAGGCAGCATTTCCTTAAATGCTAATTTTTAAATAATAAAATTGAGAGGAATTCTAATTATTTTTGCTTCAAGATTAGGCATGGAATTGAAGGTATTTGACAACTTACATTTATTGTGTAATTGATCATGCCTTGTCATTCCAGATAGTTTTCCAAAGAAGATAATAAATACGTTTGTTGTTCCTAAGATGTTCTGTGGCTGTGTACAATTAATGAATATTTAAACAAAATTTCTTTTCAGTAAATCAATATTTTGTTTCTGTATTAGTATGATTAATGTCACTAAATATTGCCATTGGAAAGTAAATCCTTTACTGCTAATGTTTTATTTCATAGCTTTGGGAAAAAGGATACCTTACACTAGTAATGCCAGTCAAGTATTGCTGTATAAACAAGCCCTGACCATATGCATACTCTTGAAAGAAATTTACTGAATATTTTTCCTTTTTCTGACTCTGGTTTCAGTACAGGAGTTTAGTAGGATCCTTAAGATTTTTCCTATAATTTGTGAATACATGCAGTGGTTTCTGGTGAATTTTCAAGTATGCCGGACAGTAGAAATACTTACAATTTTAGGGATTTTATGAGGTGGTATCTTCCATTTTAGAAAATTGATAAAAGTTACTCATGTATCACCATTTATGGTTTTGATATTTACATTCCTCTTCTCCTTGCTTACAGTTGTTATTATGTACTGATTCATTACCATAATTAGTCTTGTATTTTTCCTCTGGTTTTAAGCAAAGACTCTGTTAATGGCTGAGAGTGGATACACATAATTTTGTAATATTCTGATTTAGCTTTTTGCTTTAGTACTTTTCCTGAAGATAACTACAGAGTTTAATTGCATCTTAAGTAATATAACTGGATAAAAGTGCTATAGAATAAAATACACGCTGGTAAAAAAGGTTGATCTTTACAGCATTAGCTTATAAATAAAGTGTTTATTAGAACATGGAAATGTCTTTATCTGCTTTTCTTTGGTGAATAGTCACAGAACTATGAAGAAACTCCTACAGTTGCTTGAAAAAACTTCAGATGGAATGAAATTTATCCTGCTGTTACAGATATGTGTCATTTATAAGTTGCTGTATTTAAATGTATTTGTATTTCTCTAGTCATGTGTTTGGAGAGATTTTGGAGATAAATCTGCTCTATCACAAACTAACTTTGTATTTGTCTTAAGGAAAAAGAAGTGGGGAAATACATATGTGCTTTCTTTGTCTTGAAGACGTAAAGCTTCAAAGATGTTCTGCTAATCCGCTTCTTGTGTGTACCCAAATAATAATAAATCATAAAGAGACCTGGTGAAGAGTTAAATTCTGTTTTCATAGGATGCTTTAAATCCATTTTTTTGTGATTGGATTTCAAACCTTAGTATTTTTTTCAATGTAGCTCTTATTGTGTAGTCTTCTAGTTTTATAATCAAACAACCAAAGAAAAGTATGTCTTGTATCATAATTCTGCATGAGTAATCACCAATGGTATAAAGCTTAATCAACAACACACACTAGACCTGTGCCATTTGAGTAAAAAGAGTAATTTGTAGGAATACTAGATTGTCATCCTCTATCATTGAGCTGATAAAGAGTAAAATGACATATCACTCTGTCTTTCAGCTACTTATTAACATGGGAGAAGTGATCAGGAAGGGAAATTTGTTATAACTGAGGTTCTGGAGATGGGTGTGCTTTTAGTGGCTTAGATTTTTTTTTTCTTTCTTTTTTTTCCATCTAACCCCTTCAACTTGTACTTACAGTCTTGTCACTTAGTGTTCATCACATAATGTGGAATTGTTTGGAGCACTTCAAAAGATGCTGAAAGCATTGTGTTTATCACTAGTTTGATAACAGGCTAACAGTTTTGCTTCAAGTTAGATGGTAAAGTTTGGAAGAGTTGCAAAAATAAAGCTGGGGCCTTCACATAGAAGTATTTAACATCCTTAACAATAGGTAGTACTGTTGGGTCAGGGACAAGAATTTCTGGAAATCTGACCCTTAACTCCTATACAGCAGTTTCTCCTCCTATAAAATACTTGCTGTGAATATCTGGTATAATGCCTCTTGAAGTCATTAAAGACTCTAGTGAGTGCTTGCTAGGGGTTTTCTGGTTTTTTTTTAAACATGCTCTGATTAAAAGAGCTATATAAATTCCTATGTATCAGGACAGGCCCTCCTTGGAATTTAGCTAAATAATAGTAATGAGAAAGAGATGTCAAAGTGTGAGAAGTAATAAGATGATAGAGGCATATTGGAAAATGGTGACTGGGCCATAGTATCCTGCTTTGAATTTCAGTCTTGTATCAAACGCCTTAAGTGAATTAAAGTCTTTTTGAAGTTCATCTGTACTGTATAAATTTTAATCGATAGGCGCAATAGTAAAAAATGGATTTTTTTTTTTTATGCTGTCTCAGTACACACAGAAGGCACTGAGTCTGTTCTCAAATGTAGAAACGAGATGGTGTATGATTATTTCATAAGAATCCTTAGAACTCTAATATATTGCAGTTGTATACAGTTATTTCCATGCAGACATATTTACACTTCTGGTGAGAAATCTTTCTGTCTGGCTGTCATATAATTCTTTTTTTCATGAATGAATTATTTAGACTTGTTTTAATATAGTATATAGAATTTCTGATTTGGGTTTTGGTTTTTTTTTTTCCTTAATCTGAATATCAGTGTCCATCTCTGGTGGAAAAACTGATTTGTTCTTTGTAGTCTAGGAAATGAAAAATATCATAAAATGCATGAAATCACCAAGGACTTTGTTAAAAATTTATAGGTAATCAATAGTTTCTTCTCAATTATTTAGTAACCGCCTACTAAAGGACTGAATAAAATGGAGGTTACATAGTTCAGAAAACTGATTTGAAATCCATAGAAATAAGAAAATAGTACCAGTCTAGGGTTTTTAGATATAAATATGGCATTGCTCACAACAGCAGTTTATTTTTTTGTATGTGTGTATATATAATATATGTATTTTTTTGTGTGTGTATATGTATAGAATGATAAGGACCATCAAACGTATTTGCATGTGTTTCTGAATACTTCTCATTCTTAAATAAATTCCAATAAATAAAATGCCTACCTTTTTGTGTATAATCTGTTTACAGCTTTCTGCAATCTGTTACAATCTGTTACATATCTAGGATTTCGTCATTCCTAGAGCTTGTACGGCTCCCCTGGCATGATTTTGACCTGCCTGTGTTCTCTCTTCTCTCTAACCAGTTGTGGGTTTCTTGTGTGCGATGTTATGTGCTGTACCTGTGGCACCTGTGTATTTCTACCCTGATATTTTCTTAAGGCAGAGTAGAAGTTGTCTGAATTCACTCTCTTGCAACACATTTTAGTTATGTTTCTTCTGTATAAACACTTCTGTCATACTTGGTTAACTGAATGGGCTTAGACAGGTAATTGAATTTTCAGACATGCGATTTGTCAGTTTTGTTTAAAATTCAGTCAGTTAGAATCCTTTTTATTTCCCCCCAAATATAAACTAAGGTGCTTAATGTTGTTAGGAGGAACTGTGATAGTACCTGGTTTGAATACTTGTACCTTCCAAAGAAAAAAGAGACGGGCACAGGTACTGAAATATGAGTTGAAGGGATTAACTTAATTTCTTCTCTTACGGTTTTCATTTAGGAGTGGTACGAGGAAAACTTTTACCTTGAATATTGTTGCTGAAGTGCTGGCATTTTCTTACAACGATAAAGTCTGTTTCTAAAGCTGAATTCTTATTTGCTTGACTTTAAATACTTGGACAAGTAGGAAAATGATTGTCTAATTGTATACTGGCCATTCTGAATGTCCTTGTCTAGTATCCCATCATTTTTTTAATTGACTTGATTTAGATAGACTGTATCATTGTTCTGCCATCAATGTAGCATAGTATTGAAAAATTTAAATTAAACAATTAATGAAAAGTTTTTGATTATGAGATAATCTGTTTTACTGATGTGTTTATGTGGCCCTGGAAAAGCAGTTTTCCTGGTACTCTGCTGTTGATGTATTATTATTCAATGTGTAAGTACTTTTTTTTTCACCTTGATGACACAACTTAGATAAAGCTTATTATTACAGATTGTTTGTTTCCATTGAAATGGGTTTTCCTCTATTTTGAGAAAACAGTAATATTTATTTATTTTGTTCTTATCAACAGAGAAAATGAGGTGCTAAAAGTGCAACTTAAGAAGTATGTAGGAGCTGTCCAGATGCTCAGAAGAGAAGGTCAAACAGTGGAAGGTAAGGATAAAATGAAGGGGGGTGGGGAGGAAATCCATGCACAGGGTTTGTTTTTCTGTGTGCTACCACTGAGACAGAGTTTATTGGAGGCATAGGTATACTAACCAAATGATGGAAGTGATTCCTGGACTTGTATAAAAACTGACAATGAAAGAATAACCAGTGAACAGACATGTCTCTGGTTTATAATAACCTGCATTCTTTTTTTCCTGATTGATCCTAAAATGGATCTTTGTAGATAAGCAATCCTGTGCAAACCCTGGTCCATAACCAACACTTCAGCAGCACAAAGCAATCCCAGTGTGGCTGGGGACGTGGTTCATGCTTCCACATGCTACCCAGTGTGACATCAGCCCTCCCCCTGTTGGAAAACAGCAGCATCTGAAAAAATGACATTCTGTTTCTATGAGAACTGTCCCTGATGCATCTCTGGGCTATTTGCTGTTGTGTGAACAGTTTTGTTATGCAGATTGGTATCAAACAAAAAGAATGTTATGTGATGGCATACTATCAAATTGCTGCTGAGTAGAAACAATCAGGAAGTCTTTGCTTTCCTTACTGAGCCTTCACCAAAACAAATGAAATAATTTACATGAAAGTGGGGTTAGCAAGAAGTAATGATAAGCCCTATTCATCTCTTCCAAGCATGGTAGAATATTATCTCCCAATAGTAAAAATAACGTATTTGATATCTTTACCTTTTGAGTAAAATACTGATGTAGATTTTTATACTTATTTTTACAGAGCATTTTCTGGTAGATGAGGTGGTCTTACTTTTTTTTTTCAATAAGAAACTTTCCAGAAAAAGCTATCAGATGAAAATTTAATTTAAAAAATAATCTGCGAATTAATGTGGTATTGGAACATAAGAATAGTTATTTTGAGAAGAGAAAATTTAGTATCCCTAGATTATACTGTTAGTATTGTTTTGGAGATCAGTATTTGCAGACTGTTTGAAATAGACTCTATATTAAGACAAGACATTTCACTTTCTTTGCTAAGTTGTTCTGACTAATGAACAGATTGTATATCTGAAAGATAACGAGTTATCAGCAGTGCTACCTGTTTTTCTTCAGTGGTCAGTGGTGATAGAAGTGTCCGTGACAGGATGGAGTCTTGATTCTGAATCGTCTTCTGGTGCGACCTTATTTCCCCTGACTACAGAAGGTGTTTTGAGAGATGAGGTGGCTTTTCAGAAATTGGCACCATCCTTTTTTTTTTTTTTTTTTAATTGTCAATATTGTGGTCATATAAGTGGCTGTATGAATGAATACTACATTAATTCTGCTCTTAAGGGCTAGTCACTATACTTAATCTGTAGTTTAAAAACTTCATTCATCCTTAAAAGGACTTTTGTTAGTGAGAACACATGTTTTTACTTCCGACTTTGCTGGAGTGTAGTGATTCATATTAAGAATTATTCATGAAAACCATCGCTTAAGCTTCTTATAGTAGCAGAAATTATCCTTCATTAGATACTGAAAGTTTCCATGATGAGCGTAATTATAGGAAAAGAAAAAAAATATTCCTAGGCTAGCTATATTCTGCCATGTTAAAATTATGCAAATTAGTGAGTGATAAGAATAGAAACTGAGTAGGATGGTCAGATTTTATAGATGAAAAAGGGGATGGAACAGTACCAACATTTCTAAAAATGAATACATGTATGCTTTATGCTCGAAGGATACTTAATCAATCCACAGTAATTTTCCATAATATTTATCATTGGTGACCAGAATAAATTTCAGCTATATGCACTATTTGTTATAATTTTTGTTATATTCTAACTTCACACACTGTATTTTTATAAAACCAAATTTTTTTTTTTTTCTTAGCTGCCATTGGAGACTTATGTGAGATTTTGAGTACTGGGGCCTCTGACTCAAAAAAGTACTTAAGCATGTAAATAATCCCTGAGAACTAATATGTTTAGATACACTTCAAAAAATGAGAGTGAAGCAAAAGAAGTTTTTTCTTTTACCAGATTTATAGAAACTATTGCGTCCATGGTTTATATACGTAACTTGCAGTATCGCATTGTTGGCATTCATATTTTTAGATGTGAGCCTTCATAATTAAGAATATTTGCATTATTGAGAAAAGCTGTTTGTACTTTTCATTACATATATCATTGTGTAACTTAAGGCAAATTACTGAATTCCAATTACTGAATTATACCAATGTGGTATAACTTAAAGTGACCGTAACAACTTGTCTTAAGTAATTTTGTTCTTAATTAGCTTACATGCTTAAAAGGATTACAGAGTATATTTACAAGACCTGTTTTATTACTGTGTTCTGAGATTGTGACAATTTTGTGAAGAAAATAGGATGTTTTCTCTGCTTTTGTCATTTTAAGTTAAAATTCTTGTTGGTTTCTCATATATTAATTTATGCACTTATAGGTTAAGGTTCTTGACTTATAACTAGCCTTACATGTAGACAGGGACATAGAGTTCTGATCTGTTTAAACTCGGAAAACTCCCAGCTGTCCTCTTTTGCTGTAATGTTAGGAAATTGTCTTCATCAGGGAGGCATAAGCTGTTGCATACAACTAATTTCACTGCTGCCCTGTTTTGTCATAATGAGTAATTTCAGCGATGATTAATCTTCTTCGAAATAGTATCAAAACAAAAGTCTTAAATGTATTGTAGATTTTAGAACACTATGTGTTTAGACTTTCTGTGAAACTATTTTGAAAGAGTAAAAATAAATTGAGCTTCTGCTGTTATTTATATGACTATAAATAGAGAAGAATCTACGTTTGCTACAATAATCAGATCAGATGCTATTGACTATGGCTTTTAAATAGTTTTCTAAAATAATAAATGAAACTCAGCATAATACTTTGCCTTGTGGTGACTTAAAAAAACAAAAAGACCACTCAGCAAATGTGATTATAAATAAATTGCCCAAGAGTCAGAACAGTGTCAAGTTCAGAATATCATACCAGCTTTCAAAATGAGTGATCACTGCTGTACACTGAACAGTTTGATATTGGTATTTAAATATTTAATAAATGAGCATCCTGATTTCTCAGCCATCAGCAGCAGTTGGATGTGTACCATTTTTCAAACCTGCTTTGATACAATAGTATTATGTATATGAACATGCTGATCTCAGAAGTTTCTGGAACTCCAAGTAAGATTTACTTCAAGTAAGATTTACAAGAAATAGCTCTTAAAACAGCTTTCAAAATTTACTTAAAATCATAATAAACTTCTGAATGTATACATTCTTCCTCGAAGCAAAAATCAGTTCCCAGGCTCAAGAGTATTTAGTCAGATGAATTATGGTGTCTTGTATCTACCTTATAGTGGTTATATATATAGTTTAAATTTTGAAAAATGGTGAAACCATTTGTTAAACCTCTCTTTTATTAGGGCTTGTTTACTTTATATGTGCTAACTTGTTTTTTTAGAAATTCATGATCTGTGAGGAAAAGCTGAATTGGACTTTGTGTAACTTGGAGAAGGGGAGACTTGCTTAAAATAGGCCTTCAAGTGATCACCAAATACATAAATGATAGCAAGGAATGGGAATAGAATAAACTATAGTGTTCATTCACTGCGGGTAAGAAAAGAAGTAAGGGGCTTAAATGGCAGGTAAAGGAAGTTTGATTAGCTATCAAGAAAACCTTTCTGAGAAGAATACTTAAATTTAAATAGATTGTGCAGGAAAGCATGAAATCTCCATTATTGGAGGTTTCTAGGAATAAATTAGACAATTAACTGTCAGAAATGAAATAGCTACAGCTGATTCTGCTTTATGCAAAACCGTGAAATACGAGATGAAGAATGGAATGTCCATTCTCAGCCCTATTTTCTGTAATTTATGTGATATGTGAGTAGTCTGTGCAACTAATATGAAATGATATTTTGGACGAGAAGTAGACAAAAGACTTAAATGAGAAGCATAGGCTTAGTTTTCAAAGGCTTTGGGTAGGAATTTTAGTTACTGCCTACATATATTAGATAGCTGTAGTCACAGAACAGCCAAATGCTTTTAGTTTGCATTTTTTTCTGTTGAGAGTCCCTGTCTAAATATTGCTCATGAGAAAGCTCCCTACAGCATTTGTATTGTAGTACTTGTAATACTGTTTAATATTACATCCTATTTTGATACTTCTAATAACTGTTTCTTTTAGAGCTATTACTTCTAAACAGGTTGTCTTAGATATTTTTGTAATTTAACATTTTAATTTGAGGTATCTCTTTGTTTTAGTTCTGCCAAACATTTGGAGCACTGATGGTGAATTTACTATTCCAGAGCAAAAGCAAGTAGAAAACAATGAGGAACTAGCCAGCTCTTACGAAAGAAAATTGATTGAGGTAAAGTTTGTACTGCACAAACTTTATGGAATCATAATTGTAACATACCATTTGAAGCTGTAAATAGTTTCTTTGCTTATTTGTTATTTTTTCACCATTAGTGTAAAAGAAAAGTCTGATTTTAATTTTCAGGCTTCTGTGTTAAAATACAAATTTGTTCATTCACCTTCAAAGCATATTTAAAGCAATTCAGATAATTAAAAATGCTTTTCCTGACAAGGGTACATTTATACTTCGATATTAAAATGAAGATTTTAATAAATAAGCAAGTACCTTAAGCTTAAAACTGGTGGTGGTGAAGTTGAAAGCATCACTGACAATAGGTTTCAGGTATTGTGTAAGTTACAGTACATAATTACAGGCATTGCTCTTTTGTCAGTTGAGCTTTAAAATGAGGACATACTGAAATCTGTACCTTTTTCTGTGCTTTCATACTATTTTCTGATTGCCAAACTGTGTTTCATTTTTGTATTGCTTTACCGTGTAGCTTATTGAATACTGCAGTATGGAAACAGATGATGGAAGCTACTAGTTCTGTTGATATGACCATGTTAGAAAAAGTTCTTAATGCAAGATTCACTTTTAAGACTAATGTAAAATTCATTAAAGAAAAAAAAAGAAAGATTAGGGTTTCATCCTAAATTTAAATACAAATGATTTTCCAGACAAAAGTAATGAAATTTAATATCTAATACCCATATCTCCTATTAAATATTAAATGAACATTTTTATAAAAAGTAAAACAATTCTCTATGTCTTTCTCTTGCCCAAAATACTCTGAAATTGGATACTCATATTAACTGATTAACATGAAGATGACTAAAAATGCAGGTCGTACATCAAAGAGATTAATACAATTCTTCTAAAACATTCATACTTGGTTATCCTTTTCTCATAGGACATGTGAAACTAATTCTCTCCCTAATGCATACCTTTGGTTGGGTTCTTCTGACTCCTTTCCTCTGTTCTGTACCTATCAAAAGAATATCTTAATTAAGAACACAGGTAAAATATCTTTCAGCTTTAAAAGCGTCCTCCTTAGTTCTACTAAGTTTGTCTGCATGTTCAGGAATTTGTTGCTAACACTTCTGAGTTTGTGGAAGGAGGTGTTAGCAGTAGCACCGATGACACAGCAGCAGATGTAACCGCTGGAAAACCTTGTTGCAAATCCCATCCAGAAGAGGAAGTCTGCATCTGAGTCTCACTTACTAGTCTTCACATACTCAAAATAGGATGTAACCCCTGTAACAATCCAGATGTGTTTACCAAAAGTTATTGCTCCTTTTTCTCTCCACAAACGAAAGATGTGAAGTCTTATTTTCACAGGTTTAGGCTGTGTTGCGTTCCAAATTGAGGACTAGGATAGAAACCACTCTGGAATGCTGTTCTGGCAGTTCCATTCAGCTAGAGTTGGGTCTGAAAAATGTTCAGACATAAGGACTTTTAGTAACTGTTATTTTGTGTCTAGTAGACTATTTCAACTGGAGACAAAGATTCCCTTGAATTTCTTGGTAGCTGATCAGGATATTGAAGTCTCCCCACAGAGAAATGGCTAGCTGTCAAAAGAATGAAAAGAACAGTTCTGCTGACTAATTAGAGGTTTTTTTTTTCTTTTTTTCCATTGGAAATTATTTTGTTCATAATAATCTATTGAAGAAATTTTCAGTTTCTTACCATACTTGTAAAAAAGTTTGTATTTATCAAAGTTCTTTAATTATGATCTGTAAATCGGTTGATTTAACCAAGTGGATAAAGAAAAGTTGCAACTGAAAATTATGAAGGAGTAAAGAAACTTAAAAAAACTTTTTACTGAATGTTATGCTTAAGACAGTATTAGAGAAATTTTTGTAAAAATTCTGCATAATTTTTTTAAATGGTGTACTTCCTTAGAAATAGTAGTGAAACATCTACCTAGTTACCACAATTTCTTCTAAACCCCCAATTTGAAGCTTGTTGGGGTAGTGATAGCTCTTTGGATACCTCTAGCAATTCCCCTATGTTTTCCAATGTCATATGCTTTGGGACTAGAATGCTATTTTGGTTTAGAAGAGAAAGTAGGTTGACTTATATATAACTCTCAAGCCATGAAAGTGTTTTTAAAATCATTGTAAGATATGTTTTGGGTCATGCTATGCATTGTTAGCATGTTTGCTGTATGTAAGGTAAAAATATGTTTCATTTGCTTTGTCCTGCTTCTGTAAGGTGTGTCGGAGTAACATCACTAGAAGTTTTCTTGTGTTACATGCTGAGGGAGAGACAAACTCTTCATAGTTTGCATTGCAACTAAGCTCAAAATAAACAATTACTAAAGACTTGCTGACGTGTCAGACCTGATATTGCTAAGGATTTAAAATGAAGCAAACCAAACAAAAAACCTAAAGCAATTGGGGTGTTTGTACATCTTTAAAAGACTTGTGGTCAAATGGTTATCTGTAAGATATTGTTTCCAATTGGTCTATTCTTTCTCTTTGTGGTTGTAGACCAGTAATGAACTAGTAAACATATCTAATGAGAGAGAACATGACTTCAACATTTTTTGCAGTTTCAGCCTTTGATAATTTTGTATTCTATTTAAGAGGAATTTTATTGGTGGACTTTAACCTCCATTTCATTAAAGTTAAATTGTAGGTCATGCTCATGATGTGCTAAATTGCATTATGAGAGAGCTCTGTTAAAGACTCAGTAAATGACATTGAATTTTCAGTTTTCTGGCATAGACTATTCCTGTCGGACTAGGGAATGAGGAAACTAGCTCCTCTGCTGGAATAACAGGCTTTTGATGTACTGAAACTTGTATCACTATATATTAATCCCTTATTGTTCTGCAGAAATATTCATTCCACAGGAATGCTGGACACAAACCAAACAGTTAAAAAAAAAAATCCTTTCCAACTCTCTAAGGCTTTCCTTCTAGAAGCCTGTACAAGAAACATTTCTAGGAGTCAGAATTTTTCTACATAAATTAACTAGGAATTGCTCAGTTTTTAAAGTAAAGTTCCATAGAAACCTGCAGTTTGCCTTTTAATTAACTTGAAAATACTCTTGTATCTTTTTCTAAAGCTCATAGACTTAACGTCTTATGTGGTAGGTGTACTATTGTATTTTTATGGCTGGCAAATTGATCTCTGAGCATTTGGTATGTGAGGCTGGGAGACTGTTTTTCTGAAGGTGCATATGCTGATCACGTGAACTCAAGATGTGAATCACTGTTCAAATAAGTACACTCAGTAGATTAAGGTTGAGAGTTTATTTCTGAATATTAGAAATTTGTGAGATCTGACACCTGTCAAAAAGGCTAATTTTAATGTTTTTTAAATTCCTGACAAATTATGCAGCTCTTCTGAAAAGTTGAATTGTTTCAGACATTTGAAACAATATCTACGAAAGGTAATTTTGGATATTAAGCCAAGCTTTCACCATTCCAGAGACTTTAATTTTGTGAATTTTAATGCCTTTGTTTCTTCCTTGTTGAACAAGTAATTCGTCAGCCAGTTGCATCCTGAGGCCTCAAAAGCATGCTACTGATTATTTTTACTCAAACTGACTTCTAGATTTTTAATCTCCTCAATTTCATTTCAAAGTGCTCAAATGACTTTAAGCTGTACTAAGGGTTTTTTTGAGCCAGCAGTTACACAAATAGAACAAATTATGTCATGTATCACTGTAGTTGGGTACGTGGCTTTTTAAATACTTTTAAACATTTGACCTCTCGTTTTTTGTTTGCTTGGTTTTTTGTTTGTTTTTTTTTTTTTTGGTAATGGAGTAAGGAAGTATGTGAAAAGGTAGCATCATGTAAAAAGCAGCTGTGTGACTTTAAGGTTCTTTGTGCTACTGTCATTGTTAGTAAATGGAAGTTCAAAAGATAGCCTTTCAGTCTTAAAAAATCTGGATATATATTGTAAGTTAATTTTGCTCAGATTTATTTTTACTAAAAATTTTTCAGTAGTATGCTACCAGATAATTAAAGTTACTGAATATTGGAGGATTTTCAAATATGAGAATGGGGCTTTGCTCATGATGCAATACATGAGTTTTGTTTGGGTTTTTTGTTACAAAATCCCTTCACATAGTAAGCTATCTGGTCAGGGAAGGTACTTTAAGTCACTAAAAGCTTTGCCAAAAAGTCTCAGCGTCTTTGTAGAGTTGTCTCTCAGTTTAGCATAACAGGTAACAATATACTGTAATGAATTTCTTTATGTCCTGAATTGAGATCCTGAAGTGGGGAATTTTGATGATATAGCAATTTTGGTAACGTCTGCTTAAAGTGCCACTTATTCCTTAAAATGAGATGATTATATGGAAAAGCTGTGGCAGCCACAGAGCAACTTAGTTACCTGCTTAAAAAAAAAAACCTCTGAAGAATTGTTTGACTGCTTGTCAATTTTTTTCTCATGCTTTTCTTCTAAAAATCATTTTGATTTGTTCTTTTATTACTCTTGATCCCTAAGTGATTCTACAAATTATTGGTAAATCTAGAACCTTTCACTGCATTCACAGTATGTGCTCTTACCTGTTAATGACATTCTAAGACAAGAAAAAAAGAAACCTTTCCTTAAGAAATAAACTCTGAAATATTAAATAACTTAGTTGAAAACTTATCTGAGTACCATTTCATTGAAGTACATGACCCATTTTATTGGAAATGAATGAAGATAAGTTTTGTGTTCTTTGACAGGATTCTGTAAAGAGATGGATTTTTTTTTTTTTCCTCCTAGATACTAAAATGCCTACAAATACAATTATTAAGTAATAGCATTTGTTTGCTTAGATTTAACATTTTCTTACAGGAGAGAATTGAAAAATAACCTTTTGTGAAGCAAACAAAAAATCTTTGGATCTTGTTAGCATTGAATAAACAGTGCAAGTTTGATCTCTTCTGTTTGCATCTCTTCTGTCAGTCATATTATTTATTGACAGCTACTTTATTAGCATACGTGCATTCAGCATGAGATTTCATTCAGCAGGCAAATGAGATCGGTGCATCAGTGGACTGTGATACT